CTACTCTTATTGAGACAACGGATACAACGATACATCAATATTCCAAGATTGAAAAACGCCGTAATAGCCATGTCTTTTACTTGTTGAGTAAAGGCTGGTTGAAGATTGACATGTTAGGATGGTGGCCGACGGACTTTCCTTTAAAAAGGGTTTGGTGTTATCCTTTATTCATCACGTGATATAATGAAGTCATAAGAAGTTTATGCCGACGGGCAAGAGTGACGACTCTATTATAGTCAACGGATTACTAACATACTAACCTTGAAAATCGTCTTACTAGCCAGTGATTGTACTTGTCGAGTAAGATTACTGTACTGGAATGCATGTGTAAAGTACTGTCCTTATGATCTCATTACGGATTTATTGATTTATCAATATTGACTGATTAATTGATATGGAATTGATTTATGGATTTTGAATGGATTTATTGATATGGAATTGATTTATTGATACTGAATGGCTTTACTGTACGGATTTATGAGTTTCCTGTCATTGCACGATTTCATTGATATTTCGTACTGTACATATCACTGAATACAGATACCGATATGGATATTGATATTGCATCGATTCATTGATACTACCGATACCGATACTACTGATTCATTGTACCGATCTTATAGCACGTGATACACCGAATACTGACCAATACATGTGATACATGTGATACACCGAACACGTGATATAGAATATTATTTTACTGTATTGATTGATTTTAATTGTTATTATTGATTTATTGATTTGATTCAACTGTTCTTACGATGCATTGAATTGATCGTTTTATGTGATTTCATACCATTTGATATTATTGATCGGAAGTGATTTCTTTATTGATCTGATTAATTCTATTGATATGATTGAGTGATGTTAATCATATTTAATTTTACGGATTCACTAGTACGGACTTATTTATTGCGGATTTACCGTTACTGTACGGATTTATTGTTGCTACACAATTTCACTGTTATAGCATAATCGTTCATGTCGTCACAGTATTGTTATTGATATTGATACATACGCTGCTACTACTGATTCACTATACTGACATTATATATGTGATATATATTACTGGATTGCATATGATTTATTGAGTAAGTGATATTGAATAACTGGATCTGCAAGTGTATGTTTTGATACAATTCTACTACATTGCTTTGACTGATGTTATAGATAAGACGACTACTGTAAAGATTTGACTCACGTACTGGTTTATTGAGCTTTATGGGATTTTCTACTATTCACTGATTATATCACTGTTGATTTTGATTCTATTGTTTATGCATTGATTTCTGTATATGTACTGATTTTCGTATATGCATAGATTCAATGATCATGTGCAAGTAACTATTATAGATTGACTGATTGACATGCATATAATTTCAGTACCATGCTTTGATTTCAGTTGTAGGCTTTGATGACCTGCTGGGCTTTTTTAAGCTCATTATATGTGGTTAACAATTTCAGATCAGAGCAAAGGAGCAGGAAGTGAGGTTGATCAAGACTATCGACGAATCCTTTCATTATGGATGCCTAGGATGTCACAGTTTCTGACACTTTAAGTAAAATCATCCAAGACGATCCACGATTGTAAGGGATGATCCATTTCGTGTTGACTTGAAAATTTGCAGTTTTTGAACGGTTTTTCTTATCTCTTCTATATATAGTCCAATTTTGACTGCTACCAAATTTTTTCTCGTTAATCTTCGTGCCTATTGAAAGAAGAGTCAAAGAGAGAGTGTGAGAGAGCATTCAAAGGAGAATTCTTACTAGTGGAGCGTGAAGGCTTCACTTTGTTTTTAAAGGTAAGATTCTCTACTTGTGATTTTGGATTACTTCACTCTTTTCTTTCTTCCTTCTAGAATTCTTGTGAGAAAATCTATCAAGGAGATCCGGTTTTCTGCTGACACTTGGAGAGTGTGAACAGCCGCGGGTTCTCTGCCCACACTAGGAGAGTGTGAAAGGACGAAGGGTTCTCTGCCCACACTAGGAGAGTGTGAAAGGACGAAGGGTTCTCTGCCCATACTAGGAGAGTGTGAAAGGACGAAAGGTTTTCTGCCCACACTAGGATAGTTTGTAAGGACAAACGGTTCTTTGCCAACATCAGAGGAGTGTGAAAGGACAGATGGTTCTCTGCCAGCACTGGGGATAGTGTAAAAGGATGACGGTTCTCTGCCGCACCGGGTAGTGGTGAAAAGAGTTTTGTAAGGCTTCTCCGCCTTGCTGTGGGTGCAAAAGGAGAGTCACTAGTAGTATTAGTGCAATACTCAGAGGGTGCCTCTGGGGAGTCAATCTAGATCTGGATTTGACCAAACCACTATAAATCTGGTGTCATTATTTTTCCTCAACTTTTTTTTATTTTTGTGATTTACTGTTTTAAAACTGTGGTTGAAAAACTATTTATACAAAATTCATTAAAGTTTAATTTCGGTTTAAAATACTCAAAAGAGGGAAAATTTTTTAAAATACCAATTCACCCCCCTCTTGGTTAGTCATGGGACATAAACTTAGGCTTAACAACCTAATTCATTGTGAACGAGTTTCAACAATTATGGGTACACACGTGACGTTTGACTATTTTGTGCGGGTCAAATGATAACTTTGAGTTTGAGCTTAATCCTTTTATGCGAGTAGACATGAGTCAACACGGCTCAAACTATTAAATAAATATATGGTCATGGCATCGACTAAGATATTTATTTTCTACATTCATGTTAGGCCTTCAAGGCCTAAAAAAAAATCCACTTATAAGGGAACAAAGCCCATGATAAATACAATCTTCTATCAACAAGTTGACAAGATTCAATCCATAAATAAAAATTGCCCTTAAATACCCCAATGATGGTTGTATTCGATGCAAATCTGAATTGGAGGGGTGAACTCCAAATATTTTATATGCCTGGCCCCGATGAACGTATTTTATTTACACACGTGCTGTCTCGTGATGCTGGACAAGTCAATAAATGAACTCAAGTTTGAGCCCAATCCTTCTATGTGGATAGATAGGAGTTGACATAGCTTAAACTATCAAATGAATATATGGTCACGGTGTCGGCCTGAATATTTGTTTTATAATTCATGTTAAGCCTACAAGGTCTATAAATAATGAAAATTACTAGCAAGAGCATACAGTTGACTCGAACCCTATCCTCTGTCAGCAAGTTGACAGAGTCGACAAAGTCCAATTAATGAAATAAAAATTGCACATATACCCCGATGATGGTTATGTTGAACATAGATCTCAACCGGACGTGTTTACAAACACTTAAATAACCACCTAAATGCCCGAAATTCAAAAAATACCAAAATGTAAATATTTAAAATTGAAATAAATCATCAAAAACTTAAAGCAAAACACATCCACCTTTCACAAAAGTTTGTTGAGGTAAACAAATTTGAAAATACACTTCAGGTCACAAAAAGTTAATGTCTAGTTAAGAATATTACTAGGACTCATTCTCAAGTAGTCTCTTAACAACAAGGACATGACACGTGTCATCTAATCAGTGATTATGCCACTAAATGGCACCGCAATTAAACATTTATGACCAGGGCCCTCTAAACTGGTTGGTTTGCTTCAAAATTATACCACTAAATTACGGTCATGGATAGAGCCCGTATGCTCCACAATGGTACTAAATTCTTGAGATATGAATCAATAAGGCATAAAGCCCTCTGTTAGCTAGGGTGGATTCAAATTTATCCCCTTTGACAAATATTCACCCCATGTCTATAAGATACCCTTGGACGTAGCAATCCATGGCTGCCGACAAGGATCCTTCTTTTAGGTTGGGTCGACTACCTCCTCTGACTAGGTAGATCATGGACCACAATGGCCTGGCATGAAAGAACCATGGGATCGGGCTCATCATCACTTCCCCCACCACTCACTTTAAGTGCGAGATGGTTAAATTTTAAATTTTAAATATCAAACTTCCAATCACCCAAATCCATGTTGCTACTATATGTTTGATACCACGTACCTATTTGATAACTTATCTTAATCAAAATTTCTCTCTTGTTATGGGGAGGGGTAATTAACTATAAGGGTTTGCACCTACAGGAAACCAGAACTCATATCATAAAGTCCTCACAAAATGAGGATGAAATCTCTAGGTAGTGTCTTATCTACAAACCCAATCTGCCTTCATAAAACTTACCTCGAAACCTAATCAGTTAAAACTCCCCCGAATGCAGGGGAGGATGGGGTGCGAATATTCGGAGCCCACAATAAATTGTATGATTATTGTTTTGAAACTCATTTATTTGCTTTGAGATTAGTGCAACACAAGCTCTTTATCTATATCACTAATCTTAAAGAAAGTATAGTTACTGAATTTTAAACATATTTTAATATAAATTTTTGCCACCCATCATATATGCTTAACATTGCTTTTTTCAACTGAAGAGATCAAAAGGTTAAATTCCAGATATTGCTAGATTGAGTAGGGAGTTCCATTATTCTTGAGGCTGTAATGTTATTTCTTAACTGGATTTTGTTTTTAAGATTTTTTTTATTTTATTTTTTTTAGCGGGTCCTTAATTTGGTCTTACTCTTATATAAAACTACTTTTTTATTTACTTTTAATATTTTAATGGAGGTAAACTTGTTGCTAAAATTAATTTGCAAAGAAAACAACCAGTCAAATATATTGAATTCATACATCTTTATTCCTAAAATAAATATTCTGCATACTTGTTCTTCTCAATTATACAATCGGTTTCATAAATGCATTCAACTATCAGCAACAATTCATTCACAATGATTCTTTATTAAGAATATCATTACTTGAAAATCTCAAGATCTTTTCACAGATAAAGTGATGAAATAATATAAATATATAAACAATAATATCAGGTAAATTTTCCATTAAGCAAGAACAGGTACGGAGGGACTTGCTGGAATGCATCTCTTGAAGCCTTTAATTAGTCCTAAGAGAGAATTCCTGATATTGAGTTCTTGATTCACCAACATAGGAAGCCCTTCTTTAAGACATGTATCATACTTCTCCAAAACTGAAACAATATAACTGAAATCTGGTCTCTTAGCTGGATTTGCTGACCAACAATTCTTAATCAGATTGTTGAGAACAGGAGAGCATGAGGTTGATAATGGAGGTCTCAGATTCTGAAAAAAAAAACATAAATATATTTTTTTTAGTTCCATCAGCATCACAAATATTAAGTTTTTGATTTAATAGATTAAATTATTATTTTGGAATAAATTGATACTGTAAATATTTAGATTACTGTTACTGCAAACAATAAGCGAAACGAAAAAATGGTTATGTTTACATTAAGCTGGAAAAGATATGGGGGATTTAAATGTTGTAGAGGTGAAAAACATTATTTAAGGCCCCAATAAGAACATCTCTTAAGGCAGGAAGTGACAAAATGTTGACTTCTTTTATATAATTTGTTAATTATAAAGATAAAAGGGTAAATGTAATGCGGATTAGAAATTTTATGTAAAAGGGAGAGGAAGAAGAGAGTATGAGGAACCAAAATTTAAATCTCAAAACATATAAAAAAAGGGCCGAGTGAAGTAAGGTAAGCAAAAGAATAGCTTAAGTTCAACTTCCAACTGAAAAATAATATTAAACTAAAATTCATCTTCACACACTTTATTATATAATGCACAAATTTTTGTAATGAAACAAATAAAATAAAATAAAGGTGGTTAAAAGCATTTATGTTGCTTGCATTCTGCATAGAGGCATAAGGCCTAATAGCACTAGCTCAATAAGCTTAGCTGTGTGGACAAATATTTAATTAATAGTGCTTAACTGAACTCAATAAGCTTGGCTATATAGTTGGAGCTTAATAATGCAAAAGATATTTGGAGTGTTCTTTTTATAGTATTTGAATCAAGCTAACTTTTTTATATACTAAATTCAAGTAATAAATAAACAAATTGAAGAAATAAATCGCAAATTACCTTCTCAGAAGCAGCATAAGCAACTTGCACTGGAGTCATCCCTTGGAATGGAACAAGAGCTGTTGTAAGCTCCCACAACACCATTCCAAAACTATAAACATCAACCTTTCTAGTATAAGGCTTCTCCTTGATCATCTCCGGTGCCATCCAACGGTAAGTTCCCATATTACCTTTGGAATCTCTCAGCTGAGTTTCAAGGCAAGAAGTACCAAAGTCTGCGACTTTGACCCTCATTTCATCATTAAGTAGCAAATTATGAGACTTTAAGTCCCTATGGATCACACCTTGTGAATGAAGGTATTCCATTCCACGAGAAATGTCAAGGGCTAACCTCAAAATAGTTTCAGTTGATAGAGAGTATGGTTCTTTCTTGTGAAGATACATTCTTAGAGTACCTTGAGACATATATTCTGTAATGATGCAGTACATTGGAGGCTTCCTAGACGCTGCAATGAACTGAAAAATGGAACCAGCAGATATTCAATGATTATGACAATGTGGTATTATGTTTTTTGTAATTCTGGAGATAAATATGTTTTACAGCAAATGTTTATGGTAAATCAAAATAAATGGAAGCATTTGATTTGTACATAATTTATAAAAACTGAGGCATGCATGCACACAATCAAATGATAAAGAAGAAAGCTTCATACACTTTTTTTTCAGAACAGCATATTTTTTTGTATATCCCAAAGATAGCAAGCAAAAGAATAGCTTAATCCCTTTTAGCATCCAAGAAGGAAGGGTACCTTTAGAGTAGGTGTAGTTCCAAAAGAGAAAAAAATTAAGATGAGAAGAGAAATTATTCAATCCATAACATTTTATTACAATAGGAGACTATTTCTATTACTTGAGTAGGCAAAGTTTACAAGATAGACCAGGTCTACGTAGAACAAACTAAAAATAGAATAAATAGAACCGGTACTCCTCAGTTAAATTAGAATAAAAATAAACTAGTGCTTATGACATATTTGTAACCCAATCATTCAAACATCATGTTGTCAATGTTGGTTGTCTTAGAGTTCATCTTCATAGTTGGTAGGATTTCATGGATGTCGGTTGATTTGTCATGTTTGTAACACATGCTTAATAGTTTGACTGTACAATTTTAGAATTAAATAGAATATGTTGACGTCTAACAGATGATCCATATATTATGCTTGTTGTGATATTAGGAAACTCTATTTAATCAAGTACAAGATTTTACGATGCATGACTTTCAAAGTGATTTAGGAGTACTTAAGTGGTGCTTAATTTATACAAAAAAAATGAGAGACAGTATGATGCAAAAACACTAGTCCTTGGTTCGTCAAGATGAATTTGTTGCCCCCAAAGACTCAACTCACCCACCTCAAACAACAACGGTGAATCTATCTCTGACCTCAAGCTTTGGGATTAGGCGAAACTAATTCAAATTTCAAGAGAAAAAAAAAAGAATATCAACACAAAAATACATAAGAGTTTTATGCTGATACATCCAATTGATGATTACATCATATTATCATTGTTGTAGATTCATTGGGATTTAATTGTAAAAAATTATAATTCTAATTCCTCTTATACAAGCATAAGAGAACCCTCCCCAATTTATAAGGAAAAAAATTAGATCAGCTTCAAAATATAAGAAAATTCACAAGACTCTCTTAATAAAATAACCGGCACCACCCGCAACTAAATATTCATCGAGTAAAAGTTAGGTGCCACAACTTACGAATAAGCTGAATCCTAGAAATCACATTGACTCGTCAAAAGCACAAAAACACAAAATCATTTAAATTATTTCCAAAAAGAAAGCTTAAGCTAACATACCTGCACTATATTTGGATGATATAGGCGAGAAAGGAAAGAAACCTCAGACTTGAACTGCGTCTCCAGACTCTCACGTTTATCCGCATCCTGATCAAGAATCTTCACCATCTTCACAGCCACTGCCCTCTGCTTATAAATTCCTCTATAAATCCTACTATGTGAGCCAGAAGCAAACTTGTTCCCTATAAAAAGTTGAGAAAGATCTGCCATCCATTCCTCTCGCTCTCCACCATCATTTGCTTCTGAGCTCTCAGCATTCCCTGCATCCAGTAGCATCGACCATGACTCCAAACTATCCCACCTCTTCCTCTCCATTATCTCCATTTCTAAAGCAGGAGATCTCGGCTTTGGAAATGTAGAAGATGAGGGAGAAGAAGACGAGGGAAGTGAAACAGGATCGAGCGGTGGCGGCAATGTTATACTGCCACCAGCCTTGCATTTTTTTCCCAGCCATAAAGCCCCCAAGCAAGAACTCATTTTTGTCATGGAGTTGGGAAGGTATATAGGACTAGCTGAAGGAGAAGGCAAGGCTAAGGCAGGTGAAGACTTCCAGTTGAATTCTTCTCGAAGAGTTACAAATTGTAGCAGAATCATCAGTCAACATGACTTCTACCCAAAGAAGTAGAATACAGAGTCTGAGGATTTCAAGATTTGAATACATAAGAGGAAGTTGGAAGATTGAGGAAATAGTTGTTCAGGATGAAAGGAGAAGAAGACGGAGATTTGTTGGATTGAGAGAAAATTTTAGTGGTGAGAAGTACTCCTCCTTCATGATGGAAGAAGGAAGAGTGAATGAAGATTTTATCCGTTCATTAAAAAAGGGATGATAGACTAATTAGAGAAAAGGTTAGAGAGAGAGAGAGAGAGAGCTCTGAGCACTTGCTTGACTCTTTAATGGGGAAGAGAGAGAGAGAGAGAGAGAGAGAGAGAGAGAGAGAGAGGGATGAAATTTAAAGGGTTTCAAGGATGTCTCGTGAGGAGGTAGTTCAAAAAAGAGCTACTTTGTTTTCCTTAGAATACTTTGTTGCTGTTCACAGGGAATGCCGTTGCCAGCACTCAGCATTCAGGTTCCCTTTTCTAGGAAAATTTACTAAATTTTTTTATGAGAATGATTTTCAAATTATTAAAATTAAAGGAATTTATATACAGAATTTTAATTTACACTTTATTTAAAAATTAAAATAAATAGTTCGGTGATAGATATGTAATCCCTTTTAAATTTATATTGAGATTAATATAACATAAAACTTATTTGTTTTTATATATTATATCCATATAAAAACAAATTAATAATTTTGAGATTATTTTTTGAAATTGATTGATGATAAATTGCTAAACATTTCATTTAACTTTATAATTTTGGAGAAACAAATTCCTCCTCAAATTATTAAGTCATGAAAGCTTTTTAGATTTTGAGATCTCCCCATTAAGACAAAAATTTAAAGTATGTTTGCGATGACTTTTTTGTTGCTTTGCTTTTCACATCATCATCATATATTTACCTATTATTCTTTTTACTGCTTTAAAAAATTTTCTATACTACAAATTTCTTTTATAATAATTTTCAAAAAAAATATTTATACTATAATAACTTTACGATCACTTTTAAACAAAACTATAGTTGTTCCAAATAAGCTTTTTTGTGGTTCTAATATATTATCTTTTTTTTATTTTAAGCTTTCTGTTCTGTTATAAAAATTGATTTAGATGTAAAAATTATAAAAATTGAGAAAGATATAAATTTGCTTGTAAGGAGTCTAAGAATGATTTGTGATGCAAATACTTTAGCTTTTAATGATTTATATAATAAATTAGATGCTAAATAGAGCTATAAATATATGTATAAGCTAGCCAAACAAAGAGATAGGCCTAGTAAGGATTTAGTTCAAGTGAAATGCATTAAGAAAGAAGATCAAAAAGTATTTTTTTAGAAGCGGATATTTTCGACAAAGGTGGTCGAGATAATTTGCTAAGATTTTCAATGAAGAATGTAAAAAATACGATTGACTTTAGTAACCTTAACACTCTAAATGAAAGTAGAAGTTTTTATTTTTATAGGCGTATTATTAAAACTGAAGTTAGAGAGGCTATAAAAAAAATTAAGTGTGAGAAAATTGTTGGACTTAATGATATTCAAATAGAGGTGTGGAAACGCTTAGGAAATGATGGAATTTTTTGGCTTACTAAATTTTTAATATTATTTTGAAGACTAAAAAGATAGCAGATGTGTGGAGAATAAGTGTGTTGATTCTTATATTTAAAAATAAAGGTAATGCATAAGATTGTGCAAATTATAAAGGAATTAAGTTGATGTGTCATACTTTAAAACTATGAGAGAGAATTATGGAGCATAGGTGATGACATGATACTAATGTTTCTCAAAATGAATTTGGATTCATGTCGGGTAGGTCTACTATGAAAACCATATATTTAATGAGAGATTTGATGGAGAAGTATAGAGAGAAAAAGGAAGATCTTCATATAATATTTCTTGATTTAGGGAAAGCATGTGATAAAGTTCCAAGAGAATTGATATGGAGAGTTCTAAAAAAGGAAGGGATTAATATTGCTTATATTCAAGTCATTTGGGATATGTATGATGGAGCTATTACTTGTGTTCAAACACAAGGTCCTTTGACCAAGTATTTTCCAATTTCAGTTGGATTACATTAAGGATCAGCCTTAAGCCCATATCTCTGTTCTTTAGTCATGGATGTTCTTACTAGAGAATTGCAAGAGGATGTTCTCTAGTGTATGTTTTTTGCTAACGATATTCTTTTTGTTGGTAAGACTAAAGAGGGAGTTGAAGGTAAATTTGAATTATGGAGGTCAACCTTAGAGTCTAAAGGTTATCATTTGAGTGGATATAAAAGTGAATACATTGCGTGTAATTTTAGCAGTAATAGATATAGTGGGGTGGCTTGTGACTTTGAGTGATCAAGTCAATAATAAGAATACAAATTTTAGATACACTAGAAAAAATCGATCATAATCGGTGAAATTTTTGGTGGATCGTGGTGAAATATTTTTGACAGATTTTTAAGCAGATTTTTTGACGTAATACTGGTGGATTTTTTGGCGGATTTTTCGACGGATTTAATAATTTCTAATATTTCTAATATATATTTATTTATTTAAGAAATTATTTTAATTATTTATTAATTTATATATTTTATTATTATTTATTTTAAATTTTAAATTTCGTAATACATTATTTAAATATATAAGACTAAGCTTTGTAAAATATTTTACTCTGCTACAAATTGGTTAAATACTTGATAAACTTGCCGGTCTTGAGATTGAATCCCACGGGCGTCAGGAAACATGGGTAAGTGTGCAGGCAGGCTTCCGCGGGGAGCATACGGGTCGTCAAACTGGCGGCCAAGCTTTCGCGTACCGCGATCAGGAATGCTTCTGCGGGCAACGGAATGGTAGCTTCTACGAGCTCGATTTTTTAGTATTTTAGAGAATTTCAGAGGAAATTTTACCTGCGTAAAAGTCCACGGGGAATTTTTACCTGCGCACTGGAAAATTTTACCGACACTCATTTTATCAGCAAAAAAAAATTAGCCAGAAAACTTTCAGATCAGCCAGAAATTGAACAATTTTTCGCTGAAAATTTTATCGATAATATATGATTTTCCATTAGTGATATCTTGGGCCTATTGTTCATAGTGATGGTGAAATAGATAGAGATATTATTAGTAGAATTCAAGTTGCACGGATGAAGTGGAGGAAAGCATCAGACTTGTTGTGTGATAGAAAAATATCACTCAAACTTAAGGGAAAATTATATAAGATGGTGGTAATTAGACCTGCAATGCTTTATGGCGCAGAATGTTGTCCATTAAAAGAGAAACATAATATTAAGTTAAGTGTTGTTGAGATGGGGATGCTCAGGTAGATGAGTGGGTTTACTCTTAGAGACAGGATACAAAATTAGCATATACATGAAAGGTTAGAGTAGCTTCAGTGGCAGATAAGATTAGAGAGAGTCGTCTTAGATAGTTTGATCACATAAAAAGGTGGCCTTTCAATGCCCCGGTTAGAAGAGTAAATTTATTAGATTTAACATATGTTAAGAAAGGTAGAGGTAGAACTAAAAAAACTTTGCTAAAAAATATTAGAAATGACCTTTGTTTATTAGACCTAAATGAGAATTTAACTCTTAATCAGACACAATGGAGAAAAAGGATTCATGCAACCGACTATGCGTAATGGGATAAAGGCTTAATGTTGTTGTTGTTAAGCCTTTTGCTACTTTTATGATCAACTATACAAGTTGTGAGATGCAGCACAAATCTTAATGAAAGGCTAGTAGAGAAAGGATTGCAACCATTATTTTCGTTTGTGTAATAATATTAGGTTAAAATTTTAGAATAAAGTTTTGTTTCACGTACAAATTATAACATAAGTTTAGCACATATCTGATCAACCATTTTCATTATTTATAAAGTTAGATTTTATTTGGGATAGTTTTCTTATTACTTTTTAAAATAATTTTTTTGAGTAAAAATTTTTTGAAATAGAAAATTTTATATAAAAAACTGCTTTAAAAAATAATAAGAAAATTATCACAAATGAAGCCTTAGTCTATTTGAGCCAGCTGATTCATGCTTAAATTGGCAACCTGATTGACTTTGGCATGCATATTTATTTTAGTTGAATGATTTAGCACATATTATTTTCATAAGAGGGGCTACATGGATTCTTAGCCATTCAAAATTATGATGAATGATAAGATGCATAATAATAAGTTATTTTACGTTTCAACTATATAGTTCTCTCTCTCTCCATATATGAAAAATCTCGAATCGAACCCGTTTGATAAACAGGTTGACCCTGACCCAAAAATTTTGAATTGGATTTTGGTGTCGTGTCAATTTTTAACGCCACTATATAAGCAAGCCCTACAAATATTTAAACGAGACAAATACTCAAAACATTTTTTTGTATGCGCCATTGCTCCATTGCTTGTCTTCCAAGCAAAGTCTCTCTTCGACCTGAAATGATCCCTCAATTGTTTAACCGCTTCAAATGAATAAAAAATTATTGTTAATACATTTTTCGTCTTGTAAGTCCAAATGCAGTCTTCCTTCATTCAAATGTTGTTAATCTTATGTTATAATATTAAGGAGATGAAAGGAAGCAAAGAACGAACACTAAATATGTGGTATGAATTTAGGGTTTTTCCATTTCCTTTCTATAAGAGCTCAAATAAGTTATTGTAGGAGTCCATCGTATTCACCATGTGTTGTCTCTTCTCACTTGCAATTGTTCGATGGGTTCACTTGCAAGCTGATATTGACTAGAGAGAGGTCGTCACATTCACAACTTATCATATTCATTGTTGTTCATCATAATTTGCATGTGTTACAAGTTTTATTTCCTTTCTTCATACATAACATGTTGTTTGTGCAAAGAAGTTATCAAACTTGTCGCATGTAGACTGTTGTTATTCATAAGGATCTGATGTATTCATTCGTCGGTGAATTATCATTGATTGCAAGGACATCGCAACATTTATTGTTCATCTCATCATGCATGTTGGTTATTTCTGTGCGCATTGAGGGCTTTTTTATTATGAGTTCTTTTGTTTGATTGTTGACATTCATTTGAATGATTCAAATTGTTAATTAGCATTTGCATTTTTATATTTGATTAAGCATTTAACTATTCAAAGCCCAGTATCTTGTCGAAATTGCTTAAGTTCAAATTCAGATCATCATCATGTGATTCAAGTGCAGGTCCTTTGTGTTCTTTGACCAAGTCCTTTTTTTATTTTATTCAGTTCAAGTTTGCAAGTTCTTGTTAATTGTTAAAGTTTTGTTCACATGTGGTCTATTGTAATTTGTCAAATCTCGAGCGTTTCATTTTGAATTTCGAT